GATTGGTAACACTGGAGTGGACTGTGGCCTGTGGACTGTGGCCTGTGCCTCAGGCTCCGACAGAGGCCTTGGGATTGGTAACACTGGAGTGGACTATGGCCTGTGCCTCAGACTCTGACTGTAGCTCAAGTGCAGAGAGGAGAGGCAAGTCGGTCTTTCCACACCTGGTGTGTGTCCCCTGACCTGTCTGCCATCCTGCACCAAACACTGAGGTGACACCAGGTTGCCCAGCCAGGAGCCCCAGATCAGAGCAAAAGCAGAGGGAGGCTGACATGCCTGCCACTCCCACAGTCATAGTGAGAGGACACACAGACAGAGATTGTGCACCTGCCCGATGGGGAGGCCAGGAAGTGGGGGCCAAGGGGTTCTAAGGGGTCAGCCCCTGGCAGTGACCCCATGTGGATTCACACAGGTTCAACAAGTTGGCCGTGGGCTCTGTGGTGGAAAGCGCCTTCCGGAGGCTGAAGCACCTGCAGGTCTTGGATATTGAAGGCAACTTTGAGTTTGGTGAGGTTTCCAAGGACCACAGCCGGTTGAAGGAGGAAGATGAAGAGAAAGAGGAGGAAGAAGAGGAGGAAGAGGAGGAAGATGAAGGGAGATAGTGGCAAGGTGAAATAGATCTGACCCAGGTAGGTGATCAGGGTCAGCTTCTGGTATAAATGTACTGACCCCACCCCAAGTCTGAGATCTTTCTAGCCATCCTCATCATCTTCCTCCTCCAGTCATTAGGGAGCACTCAGTATGTGTCAGGCCCTGATTTGGGGGTTATAGCAGCAAGCTGACCCGTACAAGAGCACTACAATCCAGTGAAGGGTGCCATGGTGGTAGACACAGAGAATGAGATGTGTTAGGAGGCTGCAGAGGGGATGGACTGGGGCATGAGAAGAGAGATAAGTGGACAGGAAAGGGCTTGGGTAAGGACAGATTCATGGGGCTGCTGTCAACCTGCTTGGCATGAGGTGAGGGAGAGGACAAGGTTCCTAGTATGGCATTTGGGTGTTTGATGGTTCCCAGAGGAGGAGGTTTGTGGGGAATTGTTGAGTTTGGGGCATTGAGAAGTAGGCGAGAGGTGATAGGCTATGTAGAGCTGGCCTCAGGAGTGACGTCTGAGCTGGAGATGAAGATCCAGGCATTGCTAGCCTTGAAGCAGTCACGGGTGCTGCAGGGGGCCAGTGAGCTAACCTGGGGAGAGTGGGTGAGAGCTGGTGGCCACAGGACAGCCTGCAGTGGGGGCTGAGATGGAATCGTTTAGGAAGGGGGCAGGAAAACTGCACACTGTCAAAGACAAGGCATTTACGCACATACACAACACAAGCATCCACGTGTGTTCATAACAGACTGGCACACACATGTATATGCTCTGATGCACGCATGTGCACACCACATATATGCACACATAGCCATAGGTGTATATACACATGCACTCAGTGATTGTGACATGAGTGGTAGAGGTTGGCATTTGAGCACATGCCCTTTTATGCACATACCTGCTCTTACATGCACATCTCTACGCACAGGCACACACACACACAGAATACACACATGCACGTGCCTCTCCAGAGGCGGTCGGCTGTGCCAGTGCTGCTGAGAGGCCAGGGGAGCTGAAAGTGAACTGAATGTCAGCTGGGTGGACTGACTCACAAGAGGGCTGTCCGTGAGCTTGGCAGGTGCAGCTTAAAGGAGGTGGGGCTGAGAGAGTGGCTGGAAAGGATATAGTTCCAGGTAATGTAAGACAGCTTTTTAATAAAGTTTACTTACAAAGCAATGAGTGAGAAGGTGGCAATGGGAAGGGCTCATTTCATTGTCTGCTATCTTTAAAGACTAGGGCTGGTTTTAGTGCTGTGGGAGGAGCCGTTTGGGAGGAAGGAGTTGGAGATGAAGGAGGAGAGAGTTGAGTGGGAGAGTTTCCTGTAGAGACGGTAGGACGGGTTGGCTGTGGAGATGGGCCAGTGCTTCCTTCACTGTGACGAAGAATAGGGGATAGAGAAGCTTCAGTCGTAGGCAGGTGAGTGGCTCGGTGGAGTGACACACTGTCAGCCAAAGGCACTTGCCTTCTGTTTCCTCCATGCTGGGGGGGACCAGGATGGGGTGACGGTGACCAGTTGGATCTCTCTACAGCTGAGTTTTGCTCCGATACACGTGGGACAGGAGAGCGAGGAGACAGGGATGAGGGTATTGGCAAAAGAATCGCTGGTGTCGAGGGCCGTGGGGTCAGGCTGGGTGGGAAAAGAGATGAAGGCAGAAGAGTGGTGGAGGGTCCTGGAGAATGGGCAGGGTGGTGGTGGGGAATCGGGAGAAGAGGTGCTCTGAGGGGGATGTCAGAGGTAAGGCTTCAGAATTAATCATGTTGGGGGCCATCACATGTCTGGGGTATGACTGAGAGAGAGACCCCCAGGCCACCATTAGAATGTTGAATTGCTGGAGGCCCTGGGACAGAGAGGAGCCTGAAATGGGTGTTGAAGTCCCCTATGGATGCATATAGAAGAGTTGCAGGGGAAGGTCAGGCTGCAGGGGTTATGCACCCTTCTTTCCTGAAGCCAGTGGGTGAGAAGGTGGAACCCTCAGACAGACGCAGCAGTCTGTGCCCTCTGGGGCCACAAGATCATGAGTTGGGGAAAATCCTGGGGACAATAGCCATCCATAGTCAGATTACTTGAACAGGATCTTGAAAAGAGACCCCAGGAGGTGACTAGTGGGCATACTGAGGCTGTAAGAGCAGAGGTCGAGTGTCTGGAGTTCAAGGACGTGTTAGCACACACTCTTCCTGTCCCTGTTGCCACCCTGGTGGCTCCCAGCTTCCAGAGACAACCCTCTTCCCTGTCCACAGAAACGTAACCTTCCCTGAGCCCCCGTAAGTAGTGGCCACCCTCCACTTTAATCCACACCCCCAGGCTGGTTGTGGGTGGCCCTGCCCTGGCCAGTTGCTGACTCTTCTCTGTGTTCTGCAGGACCGCGGACCGCTGGAAGCTTTCTGCAGCACATGCGCGTGCCCTGTGAGCCCTCTGCCCACCATGCTCACAGATGCCATCAGACACACCCACACTGCACCCATGGGCGTCCCAATGGATACAGGCTCAACACACGGTCTCACATCCCTTCCCCATCCTGCAGTGTGCCCCAGACCCAGGCACGTGCAGACACATCACACCCCACATGGCCACACACGCAGCCCGCCACACATGACCTCCCAGCCGTCACACTCTCCGCCCCACGTCCACCACAGCCTCACACCCTCTGAGTCATGCGGGCTGGGGATGGGCCTGGAACACACAGGCACCCTCCCCAACATGCACACACACAGTCATGTGCAAAACAGCCCCCACAGCCTATCCCATCCCCAGCTCTTGTCCCAACCACCATCTGCCCTGTCCCTCTGTCCGTCCATCCCCTGGAGAAGACATAAGACTCTCCATGTTCTCTGTGGCCAGGTGCCTGCTACCTTCTGGAACTCACAAAAGCTGGCTTTTGTTCCTTTCTCTTCCCTGTGGACGGGACCTTCAGAACTGCTGCCCCGCCCCACCCTTCCACTGCAGCTCTGCCCAGCTGCTGGGGTCATCACTGCTGAGCACTCTCCCCTGCCATGGTCTGGTGGGGCCACTGGTACCTCCCTGGTGGGCAAGCCCCACTCACGGCCCAACCGGAGAGCCTGCAGGGCTGCTGAGAGCCTTAAAGCTGGAGTGAGGGATCGTGGAGCTGGGCCAGAGAGAGGCAGGAGGGGCCCAGCCGCAGCCTGCCTGATACTGTCTTCATTCTTTGGGCCTACTGGAAAGTTCTGGGCGCCTTATGTTTTTTTATTCCTTTTTTTTTTTTTTAAGAAAAATAATTATAAAAATCTCAAAGCTGATTTTTCTTATTACAGAAAAACTAATATAAAAGCATTATCCCTTGCAGCCTGTGCCATGTCTGTGTGCGCTTCCTGCTGAGTGCTGGGCTGCAGGAGAAGGTGGGGAGGAGACAAACACCCTGGCTCCCCCGGCAGACGAGCCAGCTTCAGTTCTGGGGCCCACTTGCACACAGGCTGAGGTACAGGCTCAGAGTTCTCTGCAGGGGATAGGAAGCCTGGCCATGTGTGTCCACCACCAGTTCAGAGGGACTCCACAGCAGGGGCTGGGTCCCCACAGTGTTCCTGTGAGCTCACACCACAGCCCTAGTAGCTGTGTCCAAGCAAAGGACCTGCCTGCCTTGGCGCAGCTCAAGCCACTCCTGGAGGGTCATCTCTGATGGGGTCTATCCCTTAGAGGATGCCTGAGGTGGGAAGGGGACCAGAGGCAGGCCTGGGAGCAGGAGCAGAGCCAACTTGGGGGCCCAGATCTCCCCAGGGCTTCTGAGGAGGAGGTAATGGCCTTGTTCACCACCTCTATGTAGGCAGCACTGGGACCAGTGGAGGAGCTATGAATGGCCAAACCCAGAGACACAGAAGAATTTCTGACCACAGAGCTGCCCCATAGGGTTGTGAGATGCTAAAGGCCAGGAAGGAGTGGCCTCTCACTAGTGGAGGTACTTAAGCATGAGCTGTGGGGCTCCTGCCAAGCCTGACAGGAAACGGATTCCTGCTTTGTGTTGGAGTGGACTGGGTGGCTTCAGAAATGTGGGACAGGGAAGGGGTGAATAAGCCTGTCTACCTGAAGATGTGAGTGACCCATAGTTTGGCACTTGACTGTTCCTAGGTGACCTGATCTCAACAAAGGAAGGCTGTGCCTCTGGTGGCCCTCCCAATCCCAGTCTCTAAGTGGGCGAGAGGATCTTGGGTCAGTGCCCTCTCTGGGCCCCTCAGACTACACTTGTTGTTGTCCCAGACGTCCCAGCTATCATGGCCCTGGGATGAAGATGGTCATAGACAGGATCAGAGGGCTGGGGGTTGTCCTGACTGAATGAACTTGCAGAGCCCTATCCATTCCCAGGCTCCACACCCCAATCCTATGCCTTTTCCCCCAGGCCCTTCAGAGCAGGCTATGTGGTCAGGGTTGTGTCCTCTGCAAGCCTAATGGATGAGCCTTGAGGGGTAAGGAGGACAAGAGGACAGTCTGGTAATGTCCCTGGGCACGCCTCCTCCCTAGAGCCAAGTGCTCACCAAAGGGAGCCAGACTGGCTAAGGACACTTCTTCTCCGTGGGGCCTGATCTCAGAGCCCTACCTGCAGAGCAGAGCCAGGCCACCTGGACCAGGCCCAGCTGCACTGTGGCTGCTAAGAGGGGTTCCCAGGAAGGTCTGCTTGCACTTGGAGCCCCTTTGTATGTAGCAGCTCCAACAAACCTGCCCTTTCTCCAGTCACCCAAACAGGCTCATCTGCCCTCTGGCATCCTAGACAGGCCTGTTCACCCTCTGAAGGTCCAAACAGATCTGTCCACTCTGTCCACCTAGGCAGGTGTGCAGACTCTGACTGCCTCCTCATAGGCTGTCTGCACGAGTAGCCAATCAGGACAGAGCATGCTCCCTACGAAAAGCCCACAGCCTTTAGAAACAAAATATGTTTATTTAGTGGCCACTGGATTTGCAAACACAGGAAGGAGCAGAAAATCTAACTCAGACTTGCCGCACAGACTTTGGGGGTTCTGACCCCAGGCCCACACTGGCAGCTTGACCGTAGCATGTCAGTCCGGGCC